CAGAATCAGATGACTCATTGTGGGTTTGTTACTATGAGTGACACCGATCACATTACAAAGTCGCGTTGTAGATTTAAAATAACATATTGACTTGTGCGGCTTTAGATTAATCAGTTTGCTAAAAGTTGCTGTATGTGTTAAATTGTGAAAATGAAAACATCTATTCTCAGAGTAACATACTTAGTGATGAAATAGTAGCTGCATCATTTATATCATCAATCCACATTTCTCATCTCAAGTTTCCCATCATCTCTTAATCACATGCGCTTTTCTCTTTGAACTAAGTCAAAGCACTGAATGTGAATGGCAAAATAACACTAAAACATTGATGACAATAGGAAAGTCAGGCAGCTTTTTCTCCCTTGCTTTTGTTTATCGGTGGGAGATGTTTCTGCAGCAGACTACCTCTTCCTACTCAGTTTGGTTTTTAGATATTGTTATAGAGGATAGATGGAGGTGGTTCTCAAGAACACAGGTAGCTTTTAAAAGCGCACTGCAACCACAGGTGGTATGAGAAGATGGAGGACAAAATGATTCAATGTTAGATCTGGCTGTACAAGAAACCTTCCACCTACACTGCTACATCTGAATGTGTGATTTAGAGTCTATTTTCTCCTCTGATTTTCTGGCACGCTGTGACCATAAAGCTACAGCTCCATTTGGAATGGAGGCATTGGCGAGGATACTGGGAAGTGCAGGGGGGGGTCTGGGTCTGGCTTGGCAGGGTGCTACAGCAGTTAATTAAAGCTGCCGGGCAGGTATTTCAGGATTAGAAGTGGGTGTGTAGAAGGGGCCTCTGGTGGCCCTCGCATGAAGTTGTCATCAAATGGGTTATAGTGGCTGCACACTTGCTGATTGTGACTTTGAATGAACTATGTTGTTGTCTCAATAGAATTCATCTGATGAGGTTCAGTTTTTGTTACAACTGGACACTGATGATTTTTGTTGAGATGTCATCTTGCTGTCCAGCAAATCATAGGCTACACATTCAGCTAACCATTATACTAATATTTAACAGACAAGTGTGTGATTATTTCTCCTTTCGTTTTCTTGTGAACACAGATAATGTTGTTAGTTCGACAAAGCAGGATTATTCATCATCACAAAATAATTGTTTTACAATCAAGAGAAAATGGCCTGTAATTATTTTCAAAATGTCAGATGACTGCGATGATGACAGAACGATTCGTCAAATCGTGATTACTAGAAAACATTCATGAAGCCAAGAAAACAACCTCATGAAGACAGAAGAAATTAATTTCTTGTGATTTTCAAAGCTGCACTAATCTACATTTTTATATACCCAAATGACTTAAATGATTATGTGTAATGTGAAACAACAAATCCACAGTGTGTTATCACCTTTCTCTGCAGCCTTTTATTCTTTTTGTTAATTGTTTTGGCCTGCATATTCCTCTCCCATCAATCCTGGGAGAGGAATTTGTTGCAGGAAGCTTATTTCAGCAAAGAGAACCACAGGCAATCTGACTGTACACTACCTGTCCAGAAGCAATTATCAGTCAGAATTGGCAGCTTGCTAATGAATGAAGTAAAACACCTAGCCCAGATATCTTTCTGCAGAGTTTATGGAGACCAACCAGAATTGGATGTACATTATTCAGGTGGCCCAAAACCTGACTCCAAATCAGTGCTTGTGAGTGTGTAAATAAGCTAGTGACTGCCAACACAGCAGCTTAATGAGGCAATAATATGTTGACGGTAGCTATTTTTCAAATTGTTGGGGAGTTTTTCTGCCCCCAAGTGGTCAGAAAATGTTAAAAAGATGGAGAAGTGATGTAAGAAGTGTGTGGGTTGATATCATAAATAATGGAGAAACTGCTACAATTATGTTTCCCACTGAAGTGATTTGGAGTATAAGTAGAAAGTGAAAAGCAAAGACCAGTGTGTAACATTCAGGAGGAAATGGAATACAATATTCATAGTTATGTTTTCATTAATGTATAATCACTTTACAATGAGCCATATTAATCTACACAGGGGAGCAGGACCTCTTCCACAAGGTCCGCCATGTTGAACTTTCGAATTCCAACAAAACAGACTAGACTAGATAGGGCTTTTTGCAAGTTTCTCTGCCACTGTAATTTTTCCTAGAAACTTGGAAGTTAAGCAGTATACAGTTGGTTGCAGTCTGCAACTTCACCACGAGAGGCCACTAAAAACCTACACACTAGTCCATTAAGTACAGCACTTGAGTAAATGTATTTATTCCATTGTTGATCGCTTATGTCATTTAAATGTGCTTTTAATTTATTTTTGTCAAATAGACACAAAGTAGTTATTGGTGTTAGTCTAACACTCAAGGCTACTTTGTCAAAATGTTTTAACATTCAAATCAAAACAACCTATTATAGTTATCTCTCATTTTCTAGTCTGGGGGTTGCCAGCTTGCCAGTGGACCTCTATGTTGACATAACTGTATAAATGAAAGCTTGTTCAGTGTAAAGGTCAAGGGAATACAGCTCGAACTCTTGTGTGAACATGAATGAACCTCTCTGTATTCTATACCTGCCCTTATCAGAGAGCTTGTCTGCTTTTCTCCTTCCTTCTCACTTCCCCACACACAGATACAGTTATATCATCCCAACTCCCAAACATTCAGTCATTTACACTCACACACGCACACCATATGGCCGAATGTCAGACAGCTGCAAGACCTGGAGTAATGTTGTAGCGAATTGTGTTGCAGAAAAGGATGATGATGATGATGGCCTCTGCTCACAACAGCAACACCAAACTCCCTCCTTGTGTACATATACGTGTGTGTACATGTGTGTGCGTGGGTGCTATGTGTTAGTGTGCAAGTTGACTTGTTATTCTGTACGTGTGTCCGTGTGTCACTCAGCCTTGTGATAGATACTGAGCTGTCATATCTGTCAACCAGAAAACAGTTCTGCATGCATATTCATCATTATGCTAATTTCACCCGAAGAGCTTTAATGAGTTCACAACATTAACAACTCAGATGAGGTGATGAACAAAAGCTTTGCAGCTTTTTTTCCCCTGCAGTTCTTATTGAGAAAACCCCATCACTGGCGACTAATGGCAAATATTGCAAACATTTTGTGTGTAAATTGTACTGAAACTGTCAGGCTTTAAAGTGTTAAAGTGTTATGTTTCAGTGGACATTAGGTTATGCAAAGTATTCAAGTTATTTTAATAAAAGTAACCACCAGATGGCAATTACACGATTCTGTGGTAACTGAAAGTTCTGTTTATTGTTGTTGTTTAATGTTTCCTGTGTAACACTGTGAACTAATAACTTTCTCACCATGTCATGATTCAAGTGCCTTACTCTCTGAAGGCAGGCTCTGACAAACTGAGTGGTAGACCAAAATAATGGGGTGAATCTGTCATCTAGTGGTCCAATTAGGAACTAACATAAAAGTTTCTAAAGAGCTCCTTTCTGTCAGTACAACCATGTTTGTCCAGAGTACTTTGGACAAGGATGTGTGAATCATGCAATGTATACCAGAGGAACACAATCAGTTTGATTACTTTTTATGTGATTTGGCATTCATCCACCATGTCATGGTATTTATAGATAGGGTTGGGTGATATGACGTTAAATACTATTTCACCAAAGGGCTGGATGTGTCCAAAGTATATAGAAACCCCATTCAGACTGCTGGTATTTATATTCCATTCATATAATTGTTGTGGTGTCTGATGCCATCTGTGTATTATTTTCAGTTTGCCCATTTTATTGTACAATGTATTTATGTTACTCAAACATGATTTCAAGTCTTTAGCAGATATGCAATATCTTGTGTTAATAGACGGTTTGAGCAATGCTGCTGCATAATACCGATATAATAAGCAATTCTTCAATTTGGACAGACGTACCTCCAAAGCTTTTTATGGTCTGTAACAGATTATTTTTGTAGTCCCAAATAAGAAGTTCCATGTCTTTGCAAAACTGTCTGTTTTGTGCCCAACTGCTGAACTTCGGGACTTATTTACTTATTCTAACTGATTCTACTGAGACATTGGCGGAAAAAGCATCCACCTCCTTATAAAGAATGGGCTACAATAATGGTTCATTTATTAGAGGATCACATACACTCTATTGAAGAAGCTTGATCATAACTGATGCAACGTATGTGTGTATATGTGTGTTTACTGCTGATATGTCTCCTAATAACTGAAGTCTTTATTCTTTGTCTTTGGTCCTTTGTTCAAACTCTCAATAAAATGTTCATAAAAATAAACCTACAGAGATTTTTTCTGTAAGGTTTAGGTTCACTATTGACCTTAGAAACAGTTGTTTAACCTGGAAGAAATCCGAAGCAAAACAACAACAACAAAAAACTACCGTCCACTTAATTACCGTTTTCCAGGCTCAGCCACACTTCACAGCCTTCCTCAGAACATGGAGTCTAGTCGGTACCTGTTGTCATACTTGGGTTATGTAAAATACTACTTTATGCCAGTATTGGATTTACAAGGTTTTTGCTTTACTGTTTAAGGTATTTAATTCACTGGGCTAGCCAAAAACAGACACTGCCATGTGATGATTTTATCTATAAAAGATTTATCAATTGAATTCCCTAAACTGTATTACTTATTACTATTATATGAGCATAAAAATATGAATATTGAATTCAGCCATACAACCCAGCCCTAATTCGATGTTTTTCTATACTCTTAAATATTCATTTATTCACAAGCGTGGTAGACTGCATCAGTGTGAAGTCGGTACACGCTGTACTTTCCCAAACAACTGTAGTCATATACCATAATGTTCAAACATGCACAGTAGCTGTAGGAAGTGCAGTGCTAATGTGTTAGGTCACAGTCTACTGTCCATTGTTTTTGTGTTGTGTCTTTGTATTGTAGTTATGCTTATGTTCTCCCGGTACCCTGGGACATTCAGTACTCATTACACCGACATAGTAAGACAGTACGTACTGTATCTCCATCTCATATCAAGGGGTTCCTGGGTCTCAACATAGCCAAGAAGACACTCTTGCACTGAGTGATATATCTGCAAGTATTTACTCATAAACATCTGACATCTTTTCTCCAAGAATAACATGTTGCATTTTACATGTTGCATGTAATATATTTCCACAAATACAAGTTGAAGTACTCTAAAAGAAAGAAAGAAAATAGTTCTTGAAAACCACACAGATACATTGTGTATCTAGAGCTTAGTCCAGAACATCATTCAGTACAACATACTGCCATTTCACACGGTGCACATATTAACAATTGTTTTGAATAGCATTTAGTTTTACTAAGTTGCAAAAAGAATGTAGCCAAAGTTTGTTCAATAATGGTCATTCTGTTTAAGTCTCCAACAGGCAACTCTGGTCAAATGCTATCACCTACTTGTTATCTGGTCAGTTGATTATTAACTTCATTGAAGTTGCAATAAAAGAAAGGAAAGAAGAGTGAATCGCATGCAAAACTCTCGCTTGTCCCTTGTTAAGTCTGAGGGGGGAAAAAAAGATCTCCATCTCCACAGGACTCTGTACAAAACAGTGAGAAAAAGGACAGAATGACCAAGACATTATCATCTTCACAGAGGGAATATTTCAGACCATCTAGAATATCACTGTGGACTCTTTTATACAGCCCCGTAATGGTAATACATTAAATTAATGTCATATCTTTGTGATTCTACCAATCTACAATGCCTGAAAACCTGGTATGTACAATGCAATGGGCAGTTATCAAATCATCTGTACTATAGGATATTTTCAGTTATTAACAAAGACTATAAAATGAAAAAATATCTTCAGTTTTGCTACAGGGAAATTGAATAATTTTGCTCTTAATATTTCCCTCAATTAACGACATATACTGGTGTACTTCACTGTGACTTATCAGAGTGTATGTGTGGTCTTGTTGATAATATTACAAACTGCAAAACGTCCTTTGTTGCCAACATTTGCATGAAAACTATAAAAGAAAATAATAAAATGGCTGCATATATTTAGAATCACATTAAAGGTAGCCACTGCAAGTGCAATTACAACCAAAAACTTACACATAACAAACTGTGAACTTGCTTAAATTACCTCTGAACACCTCTCCAGTGTGTGTGTGTGCTATTTTTGCAATGCATGTAGCACCCTCTTGTGGTAGAGTTCTTACACTACATCTAATGCATTCAATGGTAGAAAGGCTGTAGGTGCCGGAGGGCTAATACCCACATGAAGGAAAACACTAAAGAGGTGAATGAAGGCCAAACGTAAGCAATCACATTGTTGAATTGCAAGGCACCCAGCCCTATGATCAATATCAGAGACAGCGCTTGGAAAATACAACATTGTGAAAGGTTTCAAGTCAGTGGCGAACAATTCCAAGTCATTCCCTATCCTCTAGATCAGGACACTGTACAAAGTCTGTAAGAAAAGATGATAAAATCTTAATTTCCAGCTCTCCTGGAAGCCATTTTAACTGTATGCCAATTGTTGAATTTGTAGTGGATAGGGATTGCATTTGGTTACATCAAAGACACACTGAACTGAGCAGGAATTAGTGCTTTAGACAATGAACATTCTGTCCCTTGACATTTGGACCTTCAGTTAGTTAATTCACCACACACTTGGCACTTTGTGGCAAAATGTATTCCACCTTTGTCATTGAAACCGCTCTCAAATGCCTCATTAGCATTGTTGGCATTGCTCCATTTAACAGAGGAACATAGCTAGTTTCAAAATTACAGCTCGATGTTCTTTTATATTTCAACAACAAAAGGACACACATTTTGACCAGAGTGTGCAAAATGTCTGGTGATAACATATATTTAACTTTTTGTTTTGTTTTCTTTAACACCAGCAGCCTTTGCCTTGGTCCCCCGCTGCACTATCACAGAGTCCTTCCTCTTCCTCCAGAGCAGCAAGATTAATCTCGTCATTAATGGACATCCGGAGAAGATCCAGGTCCTTTTTATTGGCTGCCAGCACCTGTTCAGCCAGTCGTGTGAAAGTCTTGGAGGGAAACACAGCCACAGGATAAAAACAAGACATGACAGATAAGATGCATTGTCAGTTATCAAGTAATTTCCTCCCATTATGTAATCATGACTGCATGCATTGCTTTAATTGTGTTCTGTACATGGTCATGAAATGTCAGTTCCTTTTGAGCAGTGGCAATCCAGATCACCTCACCTCTGTAATATTATGGTTGGTGAAGGCACTTGTCTCAAAGAAATCCATTCCATAAGCCTTGGCCAGCTGCAAGACGGAGAATAGTGAGACATTTTATTAAAAGAAAAAAAAATCTGTTTTTGTCTTTTTGAGATGGGAGAAAAGACAACTGACAACTAGTTATTTCCTTTCACACAGGTGTGGTCTGCCGGCTGTCGGATGTAGTTGTGTGTTCAAGTGCAGCTTTTAATGGAAGGTATGAGGCAATGCGAGGCAACAGGAGGTGAAGCATAGTCTGAAGGCAGTCATAATGCATCATGGCCTTTAGAACAAAAATGCCTGACTATACTAGTACCCACACCAAGTCCAAAGGGTCCCACTTTTTTGAGCCAAAGTTTGTACCAGAACCCAAACAAAGAAGGTATATGAAGTTTTGCTGAACCCTGCGCTTGATTTTTTTTTTTCAGAACTGAAAATGATTTCAATGATTTCAAGCTTTTTGTAGTAAGTACCTCTGTAAAGGAATAGTTCAGCACTTTGGGAAATAAGTCTATCTGCTTTGTTGCTAAGATCAATACCACTCTCATGTGATATACACTGAACAAAATTATAAACACAACACTTTTGTTTTTGCCCCCATTCATCATGAGCTGAACTCCAAGATCTTAGACTTTCTCTATGTACACAAAAGGCCTATTTCTCTCAAATATTGTTCACAAATCTGTCAAAATCTGTGTTAGTGAGCACTTCTCCTTTGCCGAGATAATCCATCCACCTCACAGGTGTGGCATATCAAGATGCTGATCAGACAGCATGGGTATTGCACAGGTGTGCCTTAGGCTGGCCACAATAAAAGGCCACTCGAAAATGTGCAGTTCCATCACACAGCAAAATGCCACAGATGTCGCAAGTTTTGAGGGAGCGTGCAATTGGCATGCTGACTGCAGGAATGTCCACCAGAGCTGTTGCCCATGAATTGAATGTTCATTTCTCTACCGTAAGCCGTCTCCAAAGGCATTTCAGAGAATTTGGCAGAACATCCAACCGGCCTCACAACCACAGACCATGTGTAACCACACCAGCCCAGGACCTCCACATCTAGCATCTTCACCTCCAAGATCGTCTGAGACCAGCCACCCGGACAGCTGCTGCAACAATCGGTTTGCTGACCAAAGAATTTCTGCACAAACTGTCAGGAACCGTCTCAGGGAAGTTAATCTGCATGCTCGTCATTCTCATCGGGGTCTCAACCTTACTGCAGTTTGTCGTCGTAACCGACTTGAGTGGGCAAATGCTCACATTCGATGGCATCTGGCACTTTGGAGAGGTGTTCTCTTCACGGATGAATCCCCGTTTTCACTGTACAGGGCAGATGGCAGACAGAGTGTATGGCGTTGTGTGGGTGAGCAGTTTGCTGATGTCAACATTGTGGATCGAGTGGCCCATGGTGGCGGTGGGGTTATGGTATGGGCAGGCGTGTGTTATGAACAACAAACACAGGTTTTATTGATGGCATTTTGAATGCAGAGAGATACCGTGACGAGATCCTGAGGCCCATTGTTGTGCCATTCATCCACGACCATCACCTCATGTTGCAGCATGATAATGCACGGCCCCATGTTGCAAGGATCTCTACACAATTCCTGGAAGCTGAAAACATCCCAGTTCTTGCATGGCCAGCATACTCACCGGACATGTCACCCATTGAGCATGTTTGGGATGCTTTGGATCGGCATATACGACAGCGTGTTCCAGGTCCTGCCAATATCCAGCAACTTCGCACAGCCATTGAAGAGGAGTGGACCAACATTCCACAGGCCACAAACAACAACCTGATAAACTCTATGCGAAGGAGATGTGTTGCACTGCATGAGGCAAATGGTGGTTACACCAGATACTGACTGGTTTCCGGACCCCCCCAATACAGTGAAACTGCACATTTTCGAGTTGCCAGTTATTGTGGCCAGCCTAAGGCGCACCTGTGCAATACCCATGCTGTCTGATCAGCATCTTGATATGCCACACCTGTGAGGTGGATGGATTATCTCGGCAAAGGAGAAGTGCTCACTAACACAGATTTTGACAGATTTGTGAACAATATTTGAGAGAAATGGGCCTTTTGTGTACATAGAGAAAGTCTTAGATCTTTGAGTTCAGCTCATGATGAATGGGGGCAAAAACAAAAGTGTTGCGTTTATAATTTTGTTCAGTGTAATTGTGGAGTTAGAGCCAGGAGACAATTAGCCTAGCTTAGCATAAAGACTTAAAGGTCATGTGTGTATCATTTAGGAGGATCTATTGGCAGAAATGGAATATAATATTCATAGGTATGTTTTCATTAGTGTATGATCACCTGAATATAGGAATCATTGTTTTTAAGGCCTGTTCTCAATCCCCGGTCATTAAATATTTTTATTAAAAAATAATCCTACCAATACCTCTACAGCTTAATAATTAAACAACCAGGTGCAGTGACTAGCCAGAGTTTTGGTTGCAATTTGGCATTGATTTGAGGTGCTGCTCAGAAGTGCTAGGTGGATGGATAAACAGCACGTAACTCAATCTAAAACTACAAATGATCATTTTTACATTCGCAGATTAAACACACAAGATCTAACATGTTATTTAGTGAGCTTTTAGAAGTGATGGAAGGCATGATGTTTCCTCCTGTTTCCAGTCTTTACTTAGCTGAGCCAAGCTAACTGCCTTCAAGCTCCAGCTTCGTAATCAAGGCAAATTGGAAAGTGGTATTGATCTTCTCATTTAGCAAGTAAGGAAGAAAGAGAATAAGAGTATTTTTCAAAAATGTCAAAGTATTCCTTCAATATCACCTAAACAACCAAAATGTGATTGAAACTGGCTGTAAGGCAAATACGTTTTTGTTGAACTCTGAGCTGAATTTCTCTCAGAACCCAGACTGAGCCTAACGGCTACAAGCTTTTGGTGAACTAATATCAAAGAAAACCAGAAATGTCAAAAGTTTTGAGGACCTGAAGCCAAGTATGACAAACGCCAGCATCATAATAGTGTATTTGAAAGCATTATTTCTTTACCCAAAGGCAAAAATGTCCTTCAGTTCTAATAATCCATTGTGAAAGCATTACTGCACAGAGCCAGTGATAGACCCACCTTGATACCTTGCTCTGTAGCTACCTGCCTCTTGTCCACTTCATCTGACTTGTTCCCTACGAGGATCTTCTGGACCTTGTCGGGAGCGTACTGCAGGGAAACGAGGGATATTTACAGATAAGACAGAAGAGTAAAAAAAGAAATTAAAAAGATAGGGGGAGAGATAGAGAGAGAGAGCGAGAGCGAGAGAGAGAGAGAGAGATTTCAAATGTCAAGAGAATGCAGGGGGAGAAAACACATAGAGACAGTGCTCAGGAAATGAGACCTACATTAAAAGAAAGTGGGAAGCATGCCAAGATCAATAGAGTATGTATTCAGACAGACCCATAGAGGAAATTAGGTCCATAATGGCTAAATTAATAGAATAAAATCATCTGGGAAATGACAGGGGGAAGCAGGGCAGACGAGATGGCTTAAGGAAGACTCAAAGCCAATAGAAAAATGTGACTGCAAGAGGAGAAGTTTTCTGCTTCCAATATTTATGACTACACATTTAAATGATAGATATTTGAAAATTAACATTAAATATAATGAAACCAAGGAGAGCAGTGCGCGTCAGGCTAAAGCATTTGTTTTTATTGGTTCTTTGTCAACCTGGGCCCTCTGCACCGTTTTCTCTTAAATAATGCATGTTGATCCTAAATCCCCAACCCCTGTGACTCACCTCATCCACATCACTGGCCCACTTCATGATGTGCTGGAAGGATCGCTCACTTGTGATATCGTATACCAGGAAGATTCCCTAAGGTGAGATGTTCAAAGATTTCAAAACAGATGAGAAACAGTGCATTTTAAAGCACTTCAGGGTCATGTTTGAAAGATGTTCTCAATTTCTTGATCCTTAAAAGCAGCATTTTCAAATCAATATATTTGGGAACCTTAATGTGATTCCTGTAAACAAACCAGACTACCACTTAAAAAGTTGGCAGCCTATACCAACAGTTAATTTTAGATCGTAAGCCCCTAGCTGGATGACATATTTACTGAATTGTTGTATAGCACAAAACAGGAGCAGGTCACTTTTTTCCAATTTCATTGCCAGTTTCTGGTAAATGGACAATTCAATTTCAGCCAGTTTAACCTATTTAGCTGCCCAAAGCAAAGGCAAAAACCATACAGAACAATATCAGCGTGGTGGTACTGTGGAGAGCTATTCACATCCTCCTGGGAGGGAAGGGGACATGTGGTCTTTTTAATATGAGAAGTACACTTACAATAGTCCTTTTTGACAGCAGCCATTTTGAAATAAAGGGTAAACACAGGTGTTACCGATGTTACTAATTAAGGTTCCACTTCAATTCAGGTCAAACTGAGTGTGAGTGCTGCTATTGTGCATGTTGGCTCACTGGAAAAGCTCTGCTACACTAAATGAAACACAACCTTAATCAGTATCATTGATTAACGCCTGTCTACTATTTCATGTCAAAAAGGTTGCTGTGTAAAAGGTCAGTGCCACTGGTGTGAGATCAAATCCTTTTAGAATATTAAATCAGTGTTTTAAAGCTATTAGATGTAGCATCTTTGATCCATGAGAGATCCCTTTAAAAGCACCCAAATGGCTCATCAAGTACCTGATGTGGTGTCAAGTATGAGTCACGAATTATTCTTGTAGCTGTAACAAATTTAATTTCAGAAATAAATTAGATTTGAATTTGTTATTCTAATTTGTAATAATAATATTAGATTATTAATGCGTGGAAAATCACTTGCAGCAGCAGAATCAATGGAGGAGGCTTTGCTCGGGGTCAACTACCTGTGCTCGTCTGTAGTACTGCTTAGTGATGGTCTGGTACCTTTCTTGGCCTGCAGTGTCCCTGGAAAAGCAACAAGCATATATAAACATGAACATACACAAATATATTTGTGGGATTATAAAAAGACACCTAAAATATAAATAATATTAATGTGTTTGTGTGTCTTTGTTACTGTCCAGTGTAAATAATGTATCTCTAAGATATAAACTTCTCATTAAATAATAAAATTAAGTTTGTTTTAAGCGGAAGTTGGTTGTTTAGCCACACTAATGGCTATAAAGAAAGTTGATATTGGACGACACTGAGGATGTGATTGGACGTTTTTATGAATGGGATTTTAAAAATTCTTCACTCAGGTTTTAAAATTATTTGATTCTACATTATCAGTTCATCGCATGGCAACTATGGTTACAGTAAGTTCAGGAAAAGATTGTGGCTCCAGTTTATAGAAGCCAGCTTTAATTGCAGGTCTGTTATGGGACCAAATCTCTCTCCAGTGTCCTGCGAGTTCTCTTATGTAATTGGCCTAAAAGACATTAAATGTAAACACATTGAAATACATACATGAAATACAACATATTGTTTTCCATAAACGACAAAAAATATAAAAAAATATTATCAACATGGCCTCAGTGTTGCTTTGAACATGATCAGTTATACAACCATAAGCCATAATAGTTGTAGCGCTTGTGCAAATGACTAATATACCCTTTATCAGAACTACTGTTGTGTAATTTCTAATAACATTTAATTAATCTCATGCACATGGCCTTCCAGCACGGTGCCCCATACCACTATCTTACCATATCTGTATCCGTACTTTGATACCATCTATTACTAGTGTCTTCATTTTGAAGTCGACTCCTGGAAGAGAGAAAAGATATGGTTAGGAAATACAATATCACATTCAGAGAGGAGCTCTAAATGTATTTGATATTCTTCCAAACCTGTGAGTGCAGCATTCTCTGAACAGCGTCTGCACTTTTCACCCAATGAGTGACTGAAATCAATTAACCCGGCATGTCTTTAACAGACAGAGGTTCTGCAGTATCTGACACTGCTTTGTAACATCATAGAGGGCATTAACGCAACGAGAGCCACACCATCCCTGTATAATCAGCCTGTTAGAGGATTGGGCTAATGATCCTGCAAGCTCAGTCCTCGTTTAATTCAGGTCTCTGCATCGATCACATGGGAGGTAAAAGAAGGGATGAGGGCAAAAACGATAGCTAAGCGCTGCCACGGAGGAACAGACGAGAGAAAAGAAGCAGAGCTGAGATGTTGAGGGGAGAGGAGGGGTCACTCATGCTTCAGTGATCTCTGATCTGTTTCAGACAACTGACTGTGATATTCGTCATAGAGAGAAAATGCAGACAGGGCCAATTTTTCGTTTCTATAAAAACTCACTGTGTGTTCATTTTGTGAAGGACAGATGCTGACATACCTGTAGAGAAGATGCTGATAGTTAATATGTCATGCTGATGGTAAGTTTTTAAAAATGTATTGATTTCTTTCACAGAAATGTATTTTGTCAGTGAATAAAAAGACCAACATACATTGTAAGTCTCTGTCCACTAGCAGTACTATTCAGGATTTTAGAGACAATCCCACCTCATTAAGAAATCTTTCACAAGACTCTAACCAAACTATGCATAATTTTCTCAGTATTTAAAAAAATAATTTAATGTTTATGTGTAAACCTCATCGCCCTACATCAGATTCAGATAGTCTAAAAAACACCAGAATCAGCCTTAGAAACCCCAGCATGTGTAAAGCATGCAATCATCAAATGTAAACCTGACATCCAAATTAGGAAACCTTTATCGCAGGGTTACTGAGATAATTTCCTTTAATACTGTTTATGCCATTGTTTGGATTTAATATGCGGATCTGCTGTGTCAGAAAGCTTTGGGAAGGGTTTATACAGTTTATCTTTATCTACAGGCTGACTAAAATACTGAAGTTAAGTTGTGGTTTTCAACCTGCAGCAGCACTCTCAACAATTATGGTTAACCTGCAAAGTGCCACTTAAAAGAATGGAAAATGATTGCAAGTAACACTGCTCTGTCTGTGGCATGGATGTGCTTTTACTACTCTACAACTAACACTGCTAACAATAATAATAAATCATATTCATATTCATGTACATCTTGACGAGATACAATCAAAATGCCAACATAGTAAAATCACTTTTTAACATTCAAATCAGTTCAACCATTCTTTTTTTTTTTTTTCTCCAGTGTCTTTACTGTCTCCTCAGACTAATGCATTCCAGTCGATAGAAAGAAAACCCACAGGCATCTATAGACCACACTAATCCCAGAGAAATCAATTAACAGTTCATCCCAATTAACCTGACACCCAACACCCATGTGTCACAGCCGGCATCACATTCAGAGAAAAAAACTACTGAGTCCAATCAATTCACATAAAGGGAAGAACTGCTGTGTGTGGATTTTATAGCTGCATTTCTGCAAAGTTTGTATTCCAAGAGATTGACATCAGGAAACAGCTGACAGATGTACTATAGCTGGACTGCCCGATTTTGGACTGTGTGTTTGCTGAGAACAAGCTGGAGTCAAGTGAAGACTCCGCGGAGGCTGGAGCTCACTGACAGTGTGTGGCCTCATTTAAATCGTGAGGCGGCCTTTGCCTTTGACTAGAGAGCATTCAGACCAAGACTAAGTGAAAGGTCAGCATAACAATCAGTGGCTTGCCTTGCCTATGGCTTGAGGGGAGATAATAAAAAAGAGGCCGTCTTCTTGTGTCACTGTGCAGCTGTATTAGCACTGCATTAAGCTCCAGACAGACATGCAAACAGAAATTAAATATTTAAATAAAATGTAGATATGAATTAAGGGATTATCCTAAATAACTATACAGGTAAGTCAGGTAAGGAAGTAGTAGCAGCATTAAGTCTCTCAAACATTAGTAATTTTGGTCTTATATGTAAAAGATGTTTCAACCCACATTGTCTGCTTCCTGCTGTCTGATTGCTCTGCATTGTTTTATTACAGCCGGGCAAACTGAGGTTGTTTTATAGAACCAGGTGCACTCTTGCGGTGCAGCTGAGGCTGTTGTAAAGTTATAAAAATGTCTGTCTGTATCAGAGGTTTGATGTTAAAAATGTTCTAGGTGTTTCCATCACTACAGCAAAGGTCCCACTTGCGTAAAAAGTCCTGAATGTTACTATCAAAGGACAGACTGGAGGTGCAGGTATGTGCTCTGCAGTCTAAAATGCTGTATTCAAGATCAGCTCTCATTATTATGTGTATTATCACTACTGTTTAATATGTTTTAATTCAGTTATTGTTTTGATTTGGTAGTTTATGTACCCACAACTCCTCATACTGAGTGGATTATCCTGGGGAAATAATTGAATTAAACTGAACTGTGGCTTCTACACATTTGACTTATCTGTACTTTCACTGCAAACCAAATCTTATACCTTACACTGCATGAAGGAACTAGAGCTCTTTGAAGAATAATTCAGCTGTTACTGCTTTAAAAAAAAAAAGTCCTAAATCATTAAGAACAGCTTGGAGAAAAAAAAGCCATTTTACAGATTTCCCTCTTCTCTTCTGAGGCAACTGTGACAATGGATATGAGCACAATGTGCAAGGAGAGACAGCAGTTAATTTAACATGGCAGCATTTCACAATCAGCAGTGTGAACGCCATGTAAAAACGAATGGGTACACACCCAAAATTGACTTAACTAATTACCAGGGTGGCTGTGTTCAACTATGCAAGACAGATTAGGCGATGACACGTGTCAGTGTGTGCTGTAGGTAATGGTGACAGACTCACTAATGGATGGACGGATGGATGCTCTGGCACTGACACAAATTCACTGGGGAATGGGTCTGTCATCCATGGTTATCATTACTAGCAGAAGACAGCCAACAATTGTCAGCAGCTGTTGTCTTGAGGGCGCAGCAGGACAAGAGACAAACCATTTTTTCCCCAATTATGAACATGCCATCAAGCTATACTGAACAGTTAAGTTTTCTATTGACCTACTGTAAATGAAACATGTACAATGACTCATAGTGATTTATATTTAGATCAGGATTTTAGTCAAACCCATGACTGAATCCAAGACTGTGTGAAAACTAAGTTGTATAATGACTATGGTAGCGCTACTGCTCCGGATCCACACTAAAAACAAACACGTTCCTTGGTTCATGGCCTAAATTTTCCTTCATATTGTTTTTGAACAATACTTTACTGTCTTTTAGAGACAGTAGAGGGATGACAGGAAATGAGGGAAAACAGACAAATCCCCAGCCAGATGGAAACAAACAGACAAACAGGACCACAACTACAGCCTCTTCAGTAGATATATAAGCTCATACCTTTGTTATTCCTAGAAAGCCAGGAAGAATACAAGCCCTCGACAACACCATTGATTTCAGTGATAACCTCTCTATGAGATGATGTGACCCACGTATGGCCCTTTAGACTAATGAGCTCGTCAAGCAGCAGCGGGCAGAGTGTATGACCAGGCCTGTGACCATAACACCACTGGGATCGCCACCATGAGGACAGCTGCTTATTGAGCTATGATATAGGGCAGGGCCAGGCTCGTACTTTATAGGCGCTGTGACAGCCAGGAGCTCCAAGGGGTCCTATGAAGAGACCGATCGAGATAGCGGTGAGGAAGATTAAACTCAGCAGTGTGACTGAATACCATTACTAAATCATCTCTACAGCTGCTCTGTGCCAGAGAAATGTGCACTCTCGGGCCCAGAAGAAAGTCTTACGAGGAACGGAGTGACCTGTTAAAATAAAATGAGATACCTGGATGAGTGAGGGTGTATTAGTCCGTCAGGTAAGATCAGAATTCATGCTGCTCCAATGAGTTTGGACTAGATTGTTTTCATTTTTGTTGCAGCTTTTGTTTTAGCTGTAACCAGGGAGTAAAGGCATATCTTTTGTAGATCCTATAGTCAGTTGAGCTATTTATTACTATCTATATTTCTGAGTATACTGCAACATTTATTGTCAACCAGCCTTGGGTGGATCAAACCAAAGACGAAAATGTTGGCTCAAATTTGAATGCAGGTCTTGCTCTGTGGTTTCAGCTTCTTTGTGTGGGAAATTATTTGATGGCGTGAATACAAACCCCGACTGTCCTTCATCTTCTTCAGTATTGAAGAAATAATGTACAAAACAACAAGGCTAAAATATATATCTGCTGTATTTCATGCAACCTGTCAAGACTATGGAAAGGTTTCCCACAGACGTGTCGTAGAACGTCAAAAAAGCATAAAATGGCCAGGAGAAAGCCACATTAAACATGAACCCAGTGAGCATGAAATTCTATAGCACAGGAAACAAACAACTCTAGAAACATTGAACGCTCCTGTCCAAGTGCATGTATTTATCATTATACAACACTAGGTCTGGAGGAAACAAGCTTGGAAGATGGAAACAATTATAACAAACAAAACTGGATTTTAATCTGAAAGTCTGAAGAGAAAGGACACAATAACCATTTTTTGTGGAGTAGCAGAAAAGTAATATCACTAGTAGTGTAACGTATTACTGTTGGCAGGGAGATACAAGTAAAGCAATAACATTACTTTTGAAAAAAGTAATGAGCTATGAGTATAACTGGCCCAACATTGGTTATAACAGCATGAATGTCCATGTGGGAGTAATGTTTGGGTGTCCACATACTGTATCTGCATCTATTGGTCCTCAAAAGTCACACATTTGCTTGGAAGCCCTCAGTGTGTGAATGTTTTGGGTTTATTCTCATGCACGACGGCAGGAGATGCTGAATAAGATGCTCCTTATCCTCTAATGTTTACGTAAAAACTTGGGGAGCTTTGTTGAATACGACCCCCGTATGGGTGAGAGGTCCCAGCAGGTTTCGAGATAATTAAGAGCAAAAAACTGAGCGAGTGGACTGTAACGGGGAGCTGATGAATTATGGAGCTACCCATGAGGGAGACATGAGGGAGAGAATTTATATCCCTCTGTCACCATGAAGGTTGGGAAATTATTTATTGATCCCCCGCAGGAGAGCACTGATGGTGGTCACTCTTGATCTCTCTCTCTTTAGACTTTGTTGGGCTTGTTTTGTCGGAGAAGAGGAGTTTGAATTATTACAGACCCATGAAAGACCTCCCAGTGTGGCTTATAGACATAGTCTGCTGCCAACAACTATTCAGTCCAATATAAATATCTGTGCTCCACCACCTTTACCAACACAACGGCCTGATTTCTAAGCATCTAGCTGTGGTTGTAAACACTTGGTACACTGCAACAAAAGCAACAAAGAGATCCCTACATGCAGACAGGCTGAACCTTTCTTGTAAAGCCTTGGACACACCAAGAGACATCAGAAAGGATTGCAATGTGCTGTATAAACAGGACTCTACAGGGAGGACATTTCCTGTAGAGTGCTATAGGTGCCTACTTAAAATGGCACACTGCAGTCTTAGTAAGCGTGTGAGCAGGTATCATTACTGGTTGCAGCAGGTGAAACAACAAACGCATTTTAAGTTCAATGTGATGAGTGTATAACTTTGAGTTTGGGCCTCATGCTGCGGCTGTAGACTGTTTTCAGGAGTTCCCTGTGGGCTCAAACATCAGAAAGGCTTTGAATTTACCCAAAAAGCTTTCCATGCAAACACACAAGCGGTCAAAAAAGATTTTAATAAACTATGTTAAAAGGAATAGGAGCTAACCGGGAGGAAAATATCTCTATTAACTGAACACACACAAGCACAGAAACGATAGCCCGGTTGCCACCAAATAGGAGATAAGAGACACCACCGCAGCATGTGAAAAAAGAACACTGGTCACTGTACATCCTTATTGCACTCGCCTCAAAGTGTAATGTGCCTGTCATGCTCTGCACTCTTAACTATGGAGATACATTGCACAGGCCATATGAACTGTAAGGAGAGAGGATGGTTAAGCTTTGCTGAGTCAATATGTCATCTTCAGGGACGTGGCAAACCAATGAGCAAAGGCAGGAAGAGATACTGTTAGTTTGCTCGATATTCTCTGAATTAAAAGAAGAAACTGGATTTATGTCCTTGGTAACTGATTATTTATTTGGTCTAAACGACATCAAAAACTGGTCAAACATGCCCAATAATTCAGAACCCAAGCTGATGCCTTTTTGTTTGTTCAACTGTCCAAAACCCAAAGATATCCAGATTGCTGTGATTGAAGGAGGAAGCTGAAACAATCAAATGTTTGGTAGTTTTGCTTGAAAACCAACTATAGCTATCGTTAATTTTCTGTCAATCAACTCATATCTGGGTTATCACATCTGGGTTAGATTGGGTTTTTGTTTTTACAATAGGCACAGTAAAACCTCTGACAACCATCCTTGTATTAATTCTCTGAACTTATACTGAAATAAAATTATACTCCATCAGGAACCTGGAACCACCTAACAGACCCTGGGAGTCCCAGGTTTGGTGGGTAACATGGGTGCCTGATGCAAAACACAACCTATTCCCACACATACAAGTATGCCTTTCCTTTAGTGTGACACTTGGTTGCACTGTCAGTGCCAAGTGCTGATAGTTGGTAAACTCATCTGCATGGCTGCCAAGTGTTGGATCTTCCCCCTCAGGGCTTCCCTAACCAATGCAATCACGCTGATTTTACAGTCTCTTTATTCCACGTGATTACACCTCTCTAATTAAATCAAAGCGTAGCTCCTTTTTAAAATTCCTGATCAAATCTAATTTGTGGGATTTAATTGGAAATCCAGCGAGGAGAGGAGAGAGAGAGAGAGAGAGAGAGAGAGAGAGAGAGAGGAGAGAGGGTGATGCGCAAATGACATCAAGAGCAAACGCTGAAAGACCATGCAAACGAATGGGAAATTCTAAATTAAAGCAAGTGATAAAATAAGAAAAAAAAGAAACAACTCCTGGTGGCAGTGCAGAGTCTTACCGATGGTGGAGATGTGAGACGGGTGAAATTCGTTGTCCGTGAATCTGCATAGCAAACATGTTTTCCCAACCCCAGAATCTCCGAGAAGCAGGAGTCGGAAGAGCACATCGTACTGTTTAGCCATAGTGTTGGATATAGTGTTGAATTGAAAAAAGCCCCAGTCAGCTAACTAAGCGATGGATGAGCAATCCCTCCCCGCCTGCATCCCATGTCTGCTCAAATGGGCAACATGAGGCTTTTGGCTTCTTTTTGTTCACTGATGCTGGGTCGGTGGTTAACAAAACAGGGATGCTCCAGCTTCCCAGGCAGCCTCCAGCTTCCAGTGGGTGCGGTGGACCATTGTCAAGTAAGAGTCGATAAGAAAACCGCACTTCCGGTGGTGCTTACCAACATAAAAGCTTGAGAGCGTCTTGCTCTTAAGCCACAAAGAAGATTAGTTTTGGTAGCAAATCCAAGAGTATATCTTTATAACATCATGACTGTCGTGATAGTATTAACTTTTAAACTTTTTACAGTATTTGGAGTGGTAGAAAGTCATACATTTATCCACATATCCTCTGTTATTTGCATCTGTGAATTAAATGAAGGCTTATTTGGCAATTAGCATGTCTATGTAGCCTGCTGGTACTTTATTATATTATTTTAACCAGTCATCATTTCTCATATTCATTTATAAAGCTTATATATTCTTGTTTTATCTACTTATTGTACTCTTTTTTTTTTAACATAGCCAAATCAAATTATGGTAGTAATATAGTAGCATATTAAAGCCCTTAAAACTAGAGTTTGACTCAGGGCCTCTTATACATGATGGGGGCTCAAGGTTAGGTAGGCTAAGGATGAAGGTGTTGCGTTAAGACCCTCATAGTACAACGTGCATCAGTGATTGTTAAAAAGGTCATCACGTTAAGGTTTCCTTTCTGTCCAGTCCACACTCTCTCCAATGTCAGACGGTATACTAGCTCTCAGTGGGCAGCCTCTGTGCACGCAGTGTCTGTAACTTTGTGTTATGTCATAAGTGTCCATACAGGCTACAAAAAAACAAAAAACAAATATTTATGTGAGGGTTTTTTTTTCTCGGATTTTATTTTGAAGGCGAAGTCGCACAACTTCCGGCGGTGTTTGGTTGTGTTGTGGTGACTTTACGCAGATCAAAGGTGGAAATAACGCGCGCGGTGGCATTTCTTTCTTTCGACGTCAGTCACGTAACACCAATGAGAGAGTAGGAATGACATAAAACTGGGACACACACACACACACTCCTTATTTTATCCTAAAAGTAACGTCAAACACTTTTATTTTATCCACAAGAGGTTGTGTGTTGTGTGTGTGTGTGTGTGTGTGTGTGTGTGTGTGTGTGTGTGTGTGTGTGTGTGTGTGTGTCGTTTTTTCGCACTCCAGTGAATGACAGAGATTTTGTTCCCTAGGAGACGCCGTAGCGGGTGTGCGCGCAGTTTCCGCCCACTCCAACCTCGGCAGGAAGTGAGCGAGAGACTTCCCAGTGAAAGTACGCGAACTATCAAAACAAACTACGGCGTCGCCTCGTTTTCAGCCTCCCTGCAGCCAACGGTCCCTAGCACTTCATCATGGACGGTGTACCGACGCCTCTGCGGTGCTTCAGCGAGCGCCACCCCGCAGAAATGTTCGCGGATGACGGGGTGGACTCGGTGACTTCGGTGGAGCAGGTGAGTGGAGGTACAGATTAGCTCCGTCAGGTAATGTGTGTGTGTGTGTGTGTGGGGCTAATGCTAACGCTGCGTTTGAGTGGCAGCTCTGCAAGTGTCACAGAGATTCAACTGTCACACACTCACTTTTATTTTTATTTGTTTTATTTTTTAACCCATGACTCGGCGTCAGAAGTTAGAATAAATAAAGGGAGACTTCTTCGCGTTCATTAGCTCGCTGAGCTCTTGCTAACCCAAGTTAGCAAAGCATTGTACCCTTAAAGAGATTAACTATGAATTCACTCAGCTGTTGGCCAACTACGTTCATTTAAATAGTTACACCAGGTTACGACGCATTTAGCCTTTTAAATTAAGTGTAAAACCTTTAAACAATCCAACAAATAAAGCTCTTATGTCCATTTCATTGTAGTAGGCTAACTAACTTACAGCTAATTAATGTGTGGTTAAATGCATTCAGGGCTAATATAGCTAATCACAGATATATCGGAATCGATATTATATGATTGCATTGTTTGCTTTTTTTTTTTGTTTGTTCTTTAACATTAGTGTTTTTAAAACACCAATGCAAATGTGCAGGGGTTGGCGCAACAGCTAATTTGCGACCATGAGCTGATAAAGTAACGAGAAATGTCCAGATATAAGTCTGAGGTCATTTAGAAACAGTGTCGGCTTTGTGTAGTCCAACAGACAGACCTGACTTATCTTTCATATGTAAAATGTCTTGCTCAGTACAACATTACATGTCTAGTTCTGTAAACCATTGTAACTTTCATCCTTATATCAAGAAGTATTTATGAGTTTCTCCCATTAAAAGTTGACTAATTTCCACCAAATAACATTACACTGTGATTTCTTTTATAATTGTGTGTTTATTTTTTGTGGGAAAATATTACTGTAGTATTAAAAAGTGCAACCCACATAGGGATTATTGGTGGAAATGACTGCAAACTAGCTGCTCTATAAACTGCTCTGTATCTGGTTAATGATAATAACCAGCTGATGAAAGGCTTGTTCTTGGTTAGTCTTTAGCTCATTATGACTGTTCACACTCTCCTCTTTCCTGCCCTTTTGTTTTTAACTAGAAAAAGGTGGAAAGCAGCATTGAAGAAGTCATCTCTGTTTACAAGCAAATGCACAGTTTACCACAGTAAGTATCCAGTAGGTTATTCACTGACATGGCTTCTCACCCTGTTCTTCCTCTGACCTTTTTATATGATTACAAGCTTGTAAAGTAACTAAGCTGCATACATTTTTTAACCAGAATTTATGTTGTACAGTTGCTCCATTCGGTCTAAGTGGTTATGATGATGTTACATACTGCTACAGTTATTACTGCCATACATCCAACATCTGATAGGAAAATCTCCTCTAGAAAATAATGTTAAACTTAAACATTAATAGCCCGGGTTTATGTTTGCTTCAGTCACTGAACTCAACCTGCCTATGTTTTTGAAGAGGTGTTTAATTTCTTTTGCTGGGCAAAGATGGGAAATACTATCAAATCTTTTATTTAAAGCAGTATGGCTATTGCTTGTACCAACGTTAGGCTATTAAATAACATCAATTACAAATCATTCATTTGATACTTTGGTATGGTTTCCATAAAATGAAAATGAATGATTGAATCGTGGAGAATCTAACAATGTATAGCATGTCCATATTTACAAACGTTTAGACATTTATAATTGTGTAGTTGATTTAAGCAGCTAGATACTCACATCAGCGGCAACCCACTGGGCTTTAAGAAGTTTTATACATCCAAAGAACTGCTATAAAATCCAGACCAGGCGTCTAATTGAGACCTGCATTTATTTATCAAACTGTGTAGCTACACCAGGCTAGTAAAGGGGACCTGAGTGTAATTGGGGCCCTGCATTTAATTAAAAGTTTTGCAGTACTGTCTACCCTACCCTTTGTTTCACCTTTCAAAAGACAACAAAAAAAAAGCCTTATTAGATATATGCATTATACATTATTTGGGGGCAATATTAATTACGACTAAATATTAAGCATATTCAGTAATAATGATCAAATATTGCATTCCATTAATCAAATATTTAATGTTTTAGGGGAAGAGGAACTGTCTTGTTTATGTGTAGACGGCAGAAAATGAGCTTTGCTTTACCGTCAGACACGTGATGATTTTGTTAGGTCATATTAGATATTAGTACAATAATTATGTGAAATCAGGACACTAAATTGGCCTGGCTTTAACTCGGTATATTGTAAAAAAAAAAAAAATAGCCTTTATGCAGCATCTAAAAAATCATTATCTGACCAAAAAATTGTAGCCATAGTAATGATGATCATCTATTCATAGGACTCATAATACATTGAATACATTTACTGCCATTATGAGACATTTCCAAGACCACAGCTCATTGGCTGCTTTTGATCACAAACACCTGCTGTTTGCCAATAGAGATGGCTGCACGGTGATGTGTGATGGCTGTTATCTAAGTGGTGTGTTGATCAGCCCACATACTTTGCTCCTGCTATCAGCTGTCATCAGTCCTCTGTTAATGGGGTGACTCATTTCATTTCTATGACAACTGCACGGATCTGAATGTCACCGGCATTGCAGCCAATAGGGGAAAATGTATTTGATTCTGTAAGAACTAATGGTGTTCATCAGTAGAGGTCATGCTTTAGTAGTGATCATCTCTTTTTTTGTTGGCCTGGACTCAATGCATAGGAGGTAAGGTTAGTTCTTAACTTCTGGATAAAAGTTAAACGAGAGGGGTTTTGATGTTGTCTCACATGAAAGGATGTCGTCCAGGAAGGTTGGTTAGTTTGGTTATGTCCTTATTTTTATCAGAAATGTACTGATGTGTTATTTTAAGTTATCTTAATTCAAGTGGCCTTAAAACCAAACATCTAATAAATATGTTTTGTGTTGGTAAGTTGACAGTGGTCTTAAGTATACAAAGCTAGTAAGTGAAGAAACAAAGAGTCTCTTTTTGTGGCCTTTAGGGTGGTATCGGCCGGGAACAAAGATTCATTCAAGCACTTTTTTTTTCTTTTTTCTCACATTTAAATTCTACTTAAACACATGGATATTTCAGGCTCCGCTTTTCCACAGAGGGCAAAACACATTTAAGTTTACAGTCACTCTTAATAAAAGAATGCAAGGAGACATTTTCATCTATTTGCAAGTTTTCTATTAGTGTGTAGCCAGGAATTTAGAAAGATCCAGGAATCAGGAATCCAGCTTCCCCCACTGCAACATCAAGAAATAAGAAATGTTTGTAGACACCAAAACAGCTTTTTTCACTTTATATTTATTTATATTGATTCAAATGTTTATTAAAATATTCTACTAAAACGAATGTGAGACAAAAAAAACGATGAATTTTAAAGGTGATATCTCTGCCAAAACAAAACTTACAAATGTAATAGAGGTTGATACAGTAAGATGTGTTTATTATTCAGCCATAAATATCAGAGTATTTGCTCTGTCTGTTCTTTTTCAGATCTTTGCTCGGCTTGAGACTCAGATTATAGGTTTAAGTTTCTTGCACACTAGTCTGCAGCCAGCCTCAACATTTAAACAGCTGAGTTGAATCCCCGTCTGATGATGGTGGGCGGACTGGCTTTTAGCTGTTTAGCATTGGTCCTGCACTCCCTTCTGATTGTTGTTCTGTTGCAGAATTGCTGGTATGAAAACCTTGGGCAGCGATCTGTGACTAACCCTGTGTAGGTAGAGAGTAATTACAATCGTCATAGCGAACACTGCCATGCAAAGGGCAGGCGGTGGGTGGGTAGTGGTGAGGGAGGGAGGGAGAGAGAGTCAGCTGTCTTTGACTCACTGACACACATACTGTCGTACACTTGTGTACGTGTGTGTGTGTGTGTGTGTGTGTGTGTGTGTGTGTGTGTGTGTGTGTGTGTGCGCACGCGCGCGCCGGGAGCTGCGGATGAGAGTTTCACTGGTGTTCCTGCAGAGCACACTGACATTAAAATGATGGAAGGGAACAGTGTGTGACTTTTGCTGCTGTAAAACCTAACTCCCCCCCCCTGGAGATCAATAAAATGTTATCTTATTTTAATTTAATGTTTATCTTTATAGGAAGAAGTATATATCATGGACTAATGCCACATTCCACAGCATTAATAGCCCAAGAACCTAGTTTGCAATGCTCGTCCTGAGACAGGCCTTTTTTATTCAAATGCACAATACATACAAACCTTATATGTGCTGTCATTGATAAAAACACAAACAATAAGGCCAGAATACTTTCCTGTTAATAGACAGTGAATAAAAAAAGTAGATAGATAATGCAAAGAACCCGTAAATTGGGCTACAGAAGAGCTGAAAGCTGAATAAAGAAATGCTTGTGCCACTGAAAATAATGATATAGTTTTTAATCTGTTAATTTTAATATCACAAATACTGTACAATCCTTGATTTTCTGTTTTAAAATTAAAAAAATTAGTCTTATTCATATGTGGCAGAGAGATGGTGGACAACTGTTTAAAAAAAATTTTTTTTTTTCATTTTGTGTGAAGCGTGCGGTTCTCAGATGTCTGTTTGTACATTTTCTTTTACATTCAAGCTACCAATTATTTGTAATTAATCCGTCTTTCCTGTGTTTCAGGCCAGCGTTGTTGCGGGAACAACACTACCAATATCTCAAGAAGGGCTTACGTCACTTATCAGACGCTTATGAGGTACAGTATCCCACTTACAGCAAGCAAAAAAACATCTGTTATGACCATTTAAGTGTTTATTAAACCTAATTACACATACAGTACGACTGAGTACTGAAGTTCACCCAGAGGTTGTATTAGTTCCTGTGTGTCAGTAATAACCTGCATAGACCTGAAGGACAGTAACTCTCACTGCCTCTGGATGTGTGCGTCTGATTGGCTCGCTCTGCTTTAAATAGAAATACCGTTGTATTCACTTTGCAAAGAATATGCTTGTCTGCTCTCGGGAAGGTCACCTCTCTTTTTTTGGCGCGTTACCTTCTCTCCACTCTGGCCAGGGTAGAGAGAGAAAAGCCTGTGTTGTCCGCTCGGCCAAAAGCTCAGTATCACACTGATCTGACTTCAGAATTGATCATTTCATTTGAAGCCACGTTGACAGCAAGTTTGTTGTTGTGCTGTATTACATTGCATCATGATATTATGTAATAAAGACAAAACATATCATATCACTGTTTTGTTTTTATCATAAACATCATATATTTACCAACCACCAATAATAAGTGGTTAAGTGATATTTTTTTGTGAGTGTCAGCTCTGGCATTTTCCTCGGCCTTTCCACTGTCTGTGTGGCAGACTTGTTGCTCTCATCTCTGACTGACTGATCTCCTTTTTATTGCTGTAATTGGTGATCCGATGTGCCCATCTGATCATGTTATGTTTGGCTGTCTCTGTGCGAGTAGTGTCTGGACGCTAGCAGACCGTGGCTTTGCTTCTGGATTCTTCACAGTCTGGAGTTACTAGAGGAGCCCATTCCTACTGCTGTCGCCTCAGAGTGAGTCAGACACACACACACACACACACACACACACACACACACACACAGACACACACACACAGACACAGACTCACTCTTTACAAAAAACTGCTACCAAGGGGCAAACATGGAGCCAAATAAGGATTGTGCACTGCTGTTTATTATTTACTATAGTAGAGCAAATTATGCTGCAATGCAAAAAATATGATAATTAACTGCAGGAGCTTCATCTAAAATGTCAAACAGTGTATATTTACAAGTGATACAATGCAAAAGCCCTACCCACGTAGACTTATAAGACACTATATTATTTGATTTTATTTGATTTGATTTTAAAACAATAATAATATTTTATAAAGCTCTAATTTGAAAGCTGAAAGTCACTTTTCAGTAATTGTATTTAATGGAAGGCTGTTCAACAGTACACTAACTATGTATAAAAAAGAGCTTCTGGCTACATTATTTACCTACGACACTATACTGTACATGAACACACACTGGTCCGGGTGTTATGGCCAAAACTACTATTGCAGTCAGCATATGCCAGAAAACAACCTAATTTGTCTTCTCTCCCAGACTCTAAAAATAAAATCTGGCACTAAAACACATCTCAAGTTTTTTTTTTTTTAATAATCATCCAGCCAGAGCAAATCATCAGAGATGGAGAGGGCATTTTACCAAAACCCTTAAATAATCTTATAATTAGAAATAAAATACACAAAGACTGCCAGAATACTGGTTTTCTAGTCAATCTTTCCAGTACAACACTGACACCAGTCAGGGTTGTCTTGTTTAATCATTTCTTGCTCTTGTAGTTTCCATAATTAACTGCAACAATTAATCTTAATTCTCATCTGTAATAACACCCACGGTAATTAATAATCATGGTGTTGATGTAAGAAGCAGTGAAATCAATGTTTTTCCTCAAATTATCATGACCTGTAATTGTGATTATCAAGTCTAATGACAGTATTGAGCAGTCCATGCAGCTGTAACTTCAAACAGTGTTGCTGTTATTGCCACCAAAATGTCGTTTGATTAAATTACTGCCAGTAGAAAGTAACACTGCAAACCCTGCAGCGAGTAGCAATGCCAGCCTGCCAACCCACACTCTCATTATTACTGTGAGACTTGCCAACACACCGGCTGGCACTGCCCAGCGCCAACGTGACGCCCTTGTGCACGCACACACACACACACACACACACACACACACACACACACACACACACACACAAAAGCACACAGGCACACAGGCCCCGTTCAAGGATTTATAACAATGCAACCTACAACCGATTGCTTTCTCTGTTCCATGAAATGTACACTGTTCTCAGGTCAGTATTGGCACCGGACGGGTTGGCCAAAGTTAATGTAGGTTTCCCTTCCAACTCAGTTGGCTCAAGTCATGCACGCAGTTTTGTGATTTCTCTCCATGGCGGAGGATGAAGAGAAGCAGCTTTTGTGCACAGAGGCTGGAAGGAAAGGAAACTGTGGTTGAGGTGGTCTGTGCCCGGTGCCACATGAGCTTGAGGCAACTAACCCAGTCTGCTGAGGTTGTGCAGGCCTGAGGGGCAGAATAACAGCTCTGATGTTCTAGTGGACTGAATCGGTTGTTTGTGTGTCTAATGTCTGTGAAAAGTGGTTTGTCCAAGTGGGGTTATTATATAAGACACGTATTTTCATTTGTTTTTGAATTTTAAAGGAAACTCTGTTGTGCGTGTGGCACCGTCTAGCTTTATATGTAGTTAGACACATTCACACTGAAATACAACCTCTGCTAGAAACCGAGCTGCTCCGTAGGGGGTTCAGTAAAAGAGATGAGAGGATTACTTAAGCAACAAGCCACATCCAATTTAGTCTTCCATCGAGTCTCTTTCCAAAATGATGGACTTGATCATATTAGCAGTTGTCTTTTGCTATAAAAGTAAGGAATATTTTATTTAATTCAACAAGCTCTGTATTCTTTATCTGTGTTCAGGCACTTTTATGTAAACTATCTAATCTGACAAAATCAAAACAGCACACATAATCTGAAATATAAACCTCTATGGGCAACACACACATCATTAATGTTTTATATGTGGCACTGTGGTACCTGTTTTGCAATAACTAACATTATATAGTTTCTATCAATATAAATTCAGCCTGAATAGATTGTCGAACCTTTTTGTGTCAGACGCACTTTCACTTTATTGATACAACAAATAGTATGAGAAGAACTTTGTAGATTCCTGAGCTACAGTATTTATTTTCAAGATCATTGTCCTGTTTCTTATGTAACTATATATTCAGACAGATAGGCTCTCTTCAACAGCAATAGCAAGTAACCAAACAAGATCTTAGTGATTTGTGAGCTGAGCTGTGTGAGGCATGTTTTTTTTCAAACCCCCTTCACTTGTTATTGTTGTGATAATGAGAGAAAATGTATGCATACCCTCCTGTTTTTATACAACTGTGTACAGCTCCCATCTTCAACCCATAAATCTCCATTGCTTACAGTTACATAATCAGAGCAGCAGATGCAGTAACCAAATATTTCTTCTTTATTTTTTGGTAATCTGATATTTCAGTATTACTGTAGTAACATTCAGTTGTTCATTGTGGTGTCTGTCTATTTGTGTAAGTACAATTCAGCAAGTTTCTGTTGTAACTTTTTTATCTTTTCTCTCCAGCGTGTGTCAGTTTCTGGCTCGCTGTCAGAGCCCAACGGGGGGTTTTGCTGGAGGACCAGGACAACACGCCCACCTCGCACCTACCTATGCTGCTGTCAATGCCCTGTGTATCATCGGCACAGAAGAGGCCTATAATGTTATAAACAGGTACAGTCGTGGCTTTATACTACACCAAGTATTACCATGGTGGTAAAAACACCATTTTAAATAACTTAAAAGTTTCTGTTACAGCAGGATTCTAACAGACTTACTGGTTGCAGTTCGTTGATTTAGTTGTAATACTCCTTCATACGTAGGGTGGCAGTAGAGAAAACATCAAAACACAGACAAGTCACTTTTGCCTTTAAAAAAACTGAATTCAAACCATATTTAGAAGAGGATGTGTACTTTCTATCTGACGTGCGCACATTTACTGACGTCATTTTCTGTGATGTCTGTCTGATAGAGTTTGATATCCTTAGACTCTTTATATGCCAAGATTAACAACTTGTCACGGTGACATTGTTGGAGAAATACACGATGTACTATAGATAGTAGGATAAGAACAACACTGTATATATTGGATCACCTTCAAGGTAGGACAGAGTTTTTATACTGAAGTCTTATACTGAAGCAATGTGAAGGAAAGTTGATAATCATATTCATATTTTAAAGCTTTTAATCAGCAGCTCTATAGGGATGTTTGAAATTCAATTGATGCTTTTAATTAAATTATTATCCCTGTCAGTATAACTGAATTTAATTAAATTTTAAGTAATACACTATGATATGACATTATAGGAAAACATTACAGACATATCTTATTAGTGTTATTTAACCTGTAGTTAATTATAAGAGTGTTTAGAGGTGGTAAATACTGACAGGCTGAAGCTACTAATGTTTGCAGATTTCTGTGTGTTGACTTTTTATTAGTGCTTTATAAATCTGCTGTACTTACACTGTTCCACTCACCTTCCACCCCCTCTCGCCTTATCTCCTTCACTCGTACCATATCTACCCCTCTCCTGCTCTTCTTGTCACCGATATCTCCTCTTCTTCTTTCCAATAACCTCCCCTCCCTCCCTCCCTCCCTCTCCAGGGAGAAGCTGTTAGATTTCCTATGGTCAGTGAAGCAGCCAGATGGCTCGTTTGTGATGCACGTTGGAGGGGAGGTGGATGTCAGGTGAGAAGCCCAGAAGATAACGCAGCATGCTCCGCCCTCTATCCTCTTTTTTTTTTTTTTTTTTATCTCCTGGCGTAGCATAAGATCCATAAATCACCAAAATGAAAAACATACATCACAGTCACAATTAAAAGCACGTTTGGTATCCACGGTGTTTATCATTATTGTGTATTGTATTGTGTAGAGTCGGATACATCTGCACATAGTCTTTTACCAAATTAGTAGGACGTTTTTAAAAAGTGCTTGCCTTTTTTATCTCCCTATCCTTTGTGTTTTGATGGAAAAGAGGAGAAATACAGACAGCTCTCTTGCATAAGAGTGGATTTATGTTATTTGAGTCTGTGTGTGTGTGTGTGTGTGTGTGTGTGTCTTCACTCTTTGAATCTGCTATGTGGAGCAGTTGGTTTTTAATAAGCAGCTTTGAGGTATCGTCCTCTGTTTCACCAAAGAACATCAGAAGTCAAAGTTACTTCTCCACTCTCGGAGGAGGCTGTTATCTGTTGCCAACCAATTAATGTTCTGCTGTCGTCAACCAATTAATGTTCTGCTGTCGTTATGTATTATTTAAACTCTCTTCCTCTCAGATGGGTTTGCTTAGCTGTTGCCGCCTTGTGAAAAACCATATATCTCCAAAACTTTTCACAAACTAAAGAAACAGCAGCCTTGTTTTAATTTATGAGGTAATCCAGTGGGGTTTTTAAGGGTTTTGTTGGAATAAGAAGCTGAAGGATTTGCTCAAACCCACTTTTCATTTAAGGATAAGTCTGGTGATATTTAATATTTTTCTTATTGTCAACAAATCCCATGAAAAGACCAAAACCAACAATGATTTGATGTGACTACAGCCTGATATAGCCTTTTCCTCTCATAGACCTATATCGCCCAAAAGGCATTAAAAACATGAGCCCTGCCACTGCTATTATTACAGCACATACTGCTGTCATTCGGCTGCTATCAGTACTCACTAAAGCACTAAATGCGTATTAATTCGCAGATGAAAATAGTCCCCACAAAAGCTCTGTTTATTCCTTTTTGAGTAATGTTTGCTAAAAAAAAAACGACAGTTCCCAGCTGTTGTAGGAAATTACTGAGTCTCTTTTGAAATTTAAACTCCCTTTTTTAAAAATAAAATAAAACATTTTTTAAAACAGACAGGGAAGTGAAGAGATTGGGGGGGGGGGCATTGAATAAGACCAGCCTTACTCCTCAAATGAGAAACATGAGTGTATCTAGACATACATCTAGATATGCTATCCTCATACCAGAGGCGGTGTTGTTAACTCACCCTCAATGCTGCCATTTCCTCAAAGGAAAACACTAGTTTCAATTTATCTTTCTATTATTGTGCACAGATGCCCCTGAAGAGACCAGAGCCAATGATAATATAATAATTTATCCTACTAACAAGTTGGATATTAAGTTAGAAGGACCAGTGTCATTTATTTTGAAGCTCATTTGTTTCAAAATCGTCACTGAGCATGCTCAGAGTGTTCCCTTGTTTACACTGCTGAGAACGATAAACTGGTTAAGTTCACTGTAATGGCTGTAATTCACTGTAATGGTTTGGCTGCACAGACAAAACTTGTTAGTAGGTTACAAGTTTATTTTTTTTCTGGGTAATAATAATAATAATAAAAAGATAAATTAGTATCAGCCTTATCTTTGAATTCTTGATGGGTTCAAAGCGTTGCAGTCTGGTGACAGCAGAGGAAAACTATGTCAAAGCCAAGATGACTTTACAAGTATGACAGGCAAAAACAAAATGGATGTTTATATTTGGTCTGCTGACAGTCTATAAATACAGTGCTTTGGTAGATAATGTGTAAGTGTGGGAGGAGACTTCCTGCTCACCCACATCTGTTTTTTCCATTTATAGGAGCGCGTATTGTGCAGCTTCTGTAGCATCGCTCACAAACATCCTCACACCTAAACTGTTTGAGGACACGACCAACTGGATCCTCAGGTACAACCCACCAGCACCTCCGCCACTGCGATCCATTATTGAGTTATTAAAGGCCGATTCACGGATCCTTTTCTCTTTAAACCAGGGAGCGATTTACTGTGTGTTTTAGTGTCTGTTCTCTCTGTCTCCAGTTGTCAGAACTGGGAGGGTGGTCTAAGTGGAGTGCCAGGTTTGGAGGCCCACGGTGGCTACACTTTCTGTGGCACAGCTGCCCTCGTCATCCTGGGCAAAGAACATATGCTGGATCTCAAAGCCTTGCTGGTGAGAAACTCCCCAACACCTGATATTTTCACAATCACAGGCACATGTCTTTCTTGGTTATTTGATTAAAAAAAAAAAAAGAAAGAAAGAAAGAAAAGTATTGAACATGACATAAAACACCCCCTGCTCAGAGTAACCTGTGGTACTACTTGGCTTGAGTCAAAAAAAAAAAAAAGATGCTATCAGTCACAACAGAGCCTTTGTGCTGAAGCAATATCCCTTTTATAGGCTGCTCACCGCCGTGAGGGGCCAAGCAGAGACACACATCCGTGATAAAATAAGAATAAAATATTATAACCCCGAGTGAGATTTTATTAAGTAAAACGACTGAAGACTTGGTATGAAACATTTGCTTATTTTAGATAGACTTGTGCTGCGTCTTAGATTCGTTTCCTTGAACGTGTACTCAGTAACATTTTCTGTGTCGTACAACCCTTTGGAGATGCAGCTGTAAGCGATACCTTGACATTCTTTCATTTTAGTTGTTTATGTTGCCACCGGGCTCTTGGCATATCGGAGGACAAAGTTTCCACCAGTTTTTCTTCAAACAGTAGCTTGTGTTGTCACCACTGAGGCACTGTGTTGATGCCGAAGGGAAATTTCTCTTGAAATTTGCCTGCCTCCAGAGAAGTGTGCTTCAGTATGGGGAGAGCTTCAGAGCTGTGTTCAGGGATTCTGCAGCAGGGTTGATGCTTAATGAAACGAAGCTTAAGGTCATCCGGAGTAGAAAAAGAGATGTTTTTTTTTTTACATCTCTTATTTAAAGGACAAAAACACAATGTTCAGAGTCAGTTTTTGTGCTTTGGTTTCTTTTATACAACGTTTATAGTCATTGTTTAGGAAGAAATGCCATTTTAAAATTCAAAATATCAAGGATGTAAAATGCTCGTCCAGCAACTGCCATCATACTGTCCCCTATCATTCAGCATGTATTCAAATTCTTTGTGGTCATAAAGTTAAATTTGCATATCACTAGTCAGAAAACCTGTTCCTCACATTCCAGTAGGCCGTTAAAATGGCCCTTTGTAGTAAAATCCACTCAACGCCCAGCCACAGCTTAATAAAACACGTCCTCTAAAGTGTGCTGTGTTACTGTCTATCCCCTGGAAAACATTTCTGTCGCCGTGGTTTAACCTGAGCGTCAGTGGAGCTGGAGCTGACAACCAGGAGCAGAGGTGGTTTTTGGTGGTTAAGCAAAGGCTGTATTGTATTGATTTGGTAGAAAAATTATCTACAGCCATTTTTATCACCAATAAATGCCAAACATTAGCTTTAAAATATTCCAAACAAATAGCTATTTGTATTTGTCTGATCTGGATCATAAAATAAAAACCCAGCTGTCTGTGAAGAAGAATATTGTCTATTACAACGATAATCCCATACAGATCCCGTACAAGGGCTTTAGTTGGGTTTTCTTTTGACAACCATCTTATTTTCTGAAAATGATCGTATTTGAGTGGGTGTGAACAAAGATGGCTTTTATGAAATTGTCCTTTATCGAGTGATGTAGGATGAGTCACACTGAAACAGCCCCGGATTCATTCGGTGAGCATGAATTAATCACTAACATTGAGAAAAGATTAATGTTGATGGCAACTCTGAGATTTATGTGGCCTTGTTGTGTTATTTACTCAGTATTACTTAAGTTCAGTTTTCAAGGATGGCAACTAACAATCTAGTGGAATACATTTTTCTGCTTATCAGTTTGAATGGCGAGTACAAAGTTACGAAAACAACCAAGTGAAGAAAATGCAGCATTTGAAAGTGTGTTCAGAACCTAAAAATGACATTCAATCTGCCAAATTCCACTGGCATTGCGGAGGACAATGTTGCATATTGCTTATCAAGTATAGAGAAAGGGAAGCAGCATAATTCCCACAGTGCAGCCAGGCCAGTGAATGATCCGTCAGTCTATTCTAATCAAATAGAAACTGCACTAAACTCAGCAGCAGCACACATTAAACATTTACGATGTAGATTACTGATCAAAGATCACTGTTCATGTCACATGCCTTTTTCAAATTTCCTTGTGACTCATGGAGGAAAAAGATCTTTTATCTAAAAATGATCTAGAACATTGGAATATTTGAATGTTTAATTAAATATTGATGTTGAAAGTCTCTCCACCATTGTTAGGGTATTAATTATTGCATGTGTTTTTGCACTGTGCACAAAATCTTTGAAGGCCAGGGTGAACCTTAAAAAACACTGGCTATGATGCATATTTACGAAGTGTGTTTCCTTTGTTTTACATTTGAGGCTGCGCCTACTCTGCAGAAACGGGTGTTTGTCCGTGTTAAACTCTTGACTGAAACAGTAAAGTTTTTTTTTTTCGTCTTTACTGGCTGAAATAAATCCCTCAACTGACGTTAATAAGCTAAACATTGTCCTCCCTCTTCCTCAAACAAATTAGACCCCAGCTGGTATTAAACCCAATATTCCATAATTACTCAATCCAAGCCAAGTAAAGCAGACTTGACTGGATGTGCACCAATTAGTGGTTTCCATGGCAACAATATTGCGAATTCCTTCCCATTTTGAAAATATGAAGACGCCGCTTTCCTTCACCCCCCTCATTACGTCTCTACCTCTGGTCCTGTGTGACCCCGTGGAGCTCCAGCTCTGCTCTGTCGCCAGCGGCGTTCAGGGCAGATGTGATCATGCTTAAAGTGATGAGGAGATCAGAGTTTAACATCCTCAAGAGATGCACACATTTAAAAGAAAAACATCCTGTAGAAGTGTTTGATTGTATTAAATCTGTGTTTGTCGTATGTCCCCAGCGGTGGGTGGTCAGCAGACAGATGCGATTCGAAGGAGGCTTCCAAGGCCGCTGTAATAAACTGGTGGACGGCTGCTACTCTTTCTGGCAGGCTGGACTCCTGCCTCTACTCCACAGAGCCTTATTCAAAGAAGGTACTGTATCTTAGGACGTAGCAAAGCCCTGAGGTTGAACAGGTGATTTTGCTCACAATAAACCAAGGGTCCAGTGTGAAACATTTAGCATCTATTGGCAGGAATTTAACATAATATTGCATATAATCACCGGTTTTTGTTATCTTAGAATGAGATGAGCTGCGGGTCGCCTACCATGGAGTCTGCCATGTTGAACCACCATGTTTCTACAGTAGCCCAGAACGGACAAACCAAACACTGGCCTTTCTTGTTGTTCGCGGCCACTGTAGTTTCTCCTCCACACTTCACAGCCACGTTCCCAGGTCGTCAAATACAGACACGAGCTTAGTTAGTTGCAATCTGCAAAGTCACCGCTAGATGCCACTAAATCTTACACACTGGTCCTTTAAGTGTATAAAGCGTTTCAGAGCTGCACTGCATAAACACAGTGGATTAGCAGTCAGTACAAATGCCGCACGACAAGGAGGAATTAATTTGATTTCGTGGATGTTTTGCTTGTGGAATTCTGAGTGTTTTTTTCCTGTGCTGGCTTGTTTCCTCCACACCAGTCAGCTATACTGAATGAATGTCAGTGTTTTTTCACTCATTCATTTAAAATATATATCTTTTTAATGGAGTTTCACATGGGTTATATGTTCCATGTGCGTTTTAAAGTTGGTGTTTTCTCCGGCAAGACACTAATCATCACATACAGTAAATGAGGTTGTCTCATTGCAAGCAAAATGTATCATGCAATAAAAAGTAAAGAGAAAAGTTGGGGAAAAATTGCAAATAAGCGAAATAATGTGCCCTGTTTGAGTAAATTAAAGTAACTCAAAACACGGTTTTTACTATAGAATGTTTGCACTGGAAGTGCTATTTCAATCTGATATAATTTATTATTTTTTTTAATGTTGTTATATAATTAGTCTAAAATTTGACTGATCTGTGTTTGCAGGAGAGTCGGAGCTGAGTCGGCAGCGGTGGATGTTCGAGCAGCAGGCCTTGCAGGAGTACATCCTCCTGTGCTGTCAGAACCCAGCAGGGGGCCTCCTGGATAAGCCTGGCAAGTCAGTCCCACACCATCTGGACACACACACACACACACACACACACACACACACACACACACACACACACACACACACACACACACACACACACACACACCATGATACATTCAGGCTGGTAGCAGCGCACATGCTCTACACTGTCAAATGTGATTCACGTGGTTTTACTCATGCCCATCGTTGTCCTGTTTCATGTCTTCATGTGTCCAGATCCAGAGATTTCTACCACACGTGTTACTGCCTGAGTGGACTCTCCATAGCACAGCACTTTGGAAACATGGACCTCCACCATGAGATGATCCTCGGCAAGGAGGAGAACAGATTGGTGAGGCTGCAGCAGGGCTGTGAGGGAGAAACTGGGCAGTGCGGGTGGATTCATTCTGAAATTGATGGATTTGTTTTTGTAGAAACAAATGAGACCCTGGTAAATGCTAAAGATACTTCCAGTAAAATAATAACAAATTCTAACCAGTTCCTTCAGTCCAGTCACTACGTTGGAGGTTGAACAATATTGGTGTATATTCTGGCAAATGTGCAAAATAATAGCAGCTCATAATGCAGATAAAATAAATGATACTTTGTTATTCTGACATTTGCTCAGTGGTTCCCAGCCACTGACATGGACTCCACAGACCCATCAGATCTCTACTTTGACATATCTGCTAGCTTGCAAACTCATTGTCATGCATTGTTAATCACAGCATGTGGTGTTAGGGTTAGTGAAAATATCTGTCTGTTTTGCTGAGAGGCAGACGACAAGGTTTATACCACTCTGATGTGTGTCCACTAAATATAAAACTAGATCCAGCAGTCATTAGTGTAAAGACTAGACATATTTTTTTTTGTTCCATGTACCCCCTGGCTACAGCAGGAGTACCCCCCTCGGGTAGTTGGGTTTATTTCTCTGCAAGAGCTGGAAGCTTCCCAGCTGAGCTGACAGTGGTGTAGTCTGTTAAGAATAATGTTTATTTTTCAAATGTAAATTGGCAGATCTTTGTCACCCCTGTTGTTAGGCTCATGGAGAATCATCAGAATGTATTTTTTAGTCCCGGTCCTTGAAAATGAAAAGAAAAATTAATTAACTGAACGCCTTTTGAAAAAGTGTCAACTGCTCATTTTTCCTCTGATGCATTTTCATTTTTCCACCAAGCAGTAAATTATTAAACTACTGGCTTTTTTTGTTGCACGCACAATTGTATATGAATTCAGATGCATGCACCTGCATTAACAGTCGAGAGAGCACGACACTGTTTTTAATTATTGCACCTTTTAAATGTTTTACATGCATTTACTGTCAGTGTGATGGTTTAGGGGTTTATTTCCCTATCTTGTTACAGTTTGATGCAAACATAAAAGGAGAAGCTCTGACGTTGGGTGTAGTTAGTATTTAAAGCAATGAAACTAAGATGTGGTTTTACCTAAAGATGTCACTGGTACAGACAGTGGTGGTTTATTTTCCTGTTTCCTGTTGTATTACTGGCACTTACAGCTGGTTACAGTAAGTCTGCCCCCCTATACATGCATAGACATAACACCTCTTAGGTTTTAATTCATAATTCAGCTACCCAACAGTGGGTTTGTTTTATCACATCTTTAGTAAAACTGGACATTATGCTTTAGGTCAGAATCCAGGAATATGTTGTCTCATGCTGTCTTACAAAGCAACAGGGTGTGGACAAAATATTAGAAACACATGTTCAGTCTTATACGTGGGCCTTGCAGCAAATACAGCCTCTGTGAGCACAATTGTGTTCTTTCGACATCAGAGAGGAGGTTGATTCAACTCTGGAAATTTTTGAGGCTGCCTATGTGGTGGTGTTGCATTAGATTGCATTGCACGTTTTGTCCCCTACCACAAACTAGACAAAATACAGAAGAAGAGGACAAAGCGTTGAATGAATTGCATTAGTTTACAGGAGTTCTTGATTCTCTGTCCAGTAACGAATTGGAAGGATGTTTTTGTTCATGATTTCTCTAATTTGGTTGGTCATAAGTTTAAGTCTTAAATGTATTGACAGGTTCAATGCAGAAGTGTTTGAAAAGCAGTGAAATCGATTCGTCTTTAACAGAGCAGTTTAATTCTGAAGAAATCAATGACAAGTCTCCATTGATAGTGGAGGCAGTTTATCCATAATCTATATTTATTCTTTAATTAGGACATGCAGTATAGTTAATACTAACGCTGTAATTTCACCCAAACCAGATTAGATAAAGATGTTGGAAAACTGGGTCACTTTTAGGCAAAAGAAGAAAAAGAAACCATCAAGAAAGTGCAAATAGAGGCTTAACAACGTATCATGGTGTGGTCTCTTATTTTCCTCTTGTTCTCTCTCGTTAGGCTCCAACTCATCCAGTTTACAATATTTGTCCAGAGAAGGTGTCTCAGGCCCTGCAGCACTTTCACCGGCTGCCAGTCCCTTACGAGAACAAGCCGCCGGGAGCCTCTGCTGACGAGAGACTGTCGGACCCCGCTGCTGCATCCGGATCAGCCGACCATCAGTCCTAGTTAATCCCCAGTGGAGACGTCACTGTGTGTGAACCAGCCAACTCTCGGGAATGGACTCGAAACCGGCAAAACGGCGGTATATGTCTAATGAGGACGAGCCCAAGAAGCAGTCATCCGACTGGTCGACCCTCAGTAGAGATGAGGGCTGGAGTTTAGGAGCAGTCTGCCTGAATAAAGGTCAACAGTTGTGCGTGGGCAGCTTCGCATTCAGCTGAATTTTTGCTTGCAATGCCTATTGTTTTCATTCTCTGAAATAAAAGTGAAACTTTATAAGGTTCCACTATGACCCAAGTTAATAAAACTTTATATAGCACTTTTCATAATGGTGTTATAAAATGCTTTACAACTGTTGACTGATTGGTGAACTTATCAGACATTTCAGACACAGATCATTACTTAGAAAGCAGATACAGCAGTTAAAGAACCAACAGTAGACCGAACGCAGGGCTGTCACTATGACTGAGGACACAAAGGTTTGGTCCTCCGTATTTGTTCTGAAGCAGGTTTAGCTAGGTTTGGGAGAGTTTTTACTTTACAGTTAAAAACTTATATTTGTCAGGGTGATTCCAGTATTTTTGGACTCCAATTATTAATTAGAGGGACAAAGCTGACAGATACAAAAAAAAAGATTATGTATTAAAGCAAGCTTGTTTTATCAGATCAACAAACTAAAACTTGAAAAGAGAGAGGGGAAATGACGGAAGATTAAACATCAGCTGTCCAGTTGAGTACTGGTAATTGTTTCTGCAGTGTGGTTTAAAGCAGCTGTTGGTTTCCAGAGGAATTTCTTTGAAGGAATTGCTTCATTTAAATCAAACTTGCAGAAAATAATCAGCCAACTCAGTGAATAAAATATGAAACATCCAAATAGATAAAACCGTATTCCTTTTTTGGGGGTCGGCATGATCTGTTAAAGGGAATCTTTGTCTCGTTACCTTCGTATGTTCTAAAAGCCAGGCATTGTTCATGTCTAAACACAAGGTAAATACAAACAATAACCTCTCCTTACTTAAAAAAAACCACAGATTAACCATGCACATACTGTAAGCAGGTTGGTTTAGATGAATGTTTTCTTCCACAGTTAAAAACACCAGTGATAGGGGAGAATTGTGACCTAATCAGACATCAAAGTACATTATGCCCTTTCTCTTTATTCTAGACACCTGCCTGCATTAGTAGAAACCAGAAAAACCTGAACCTGTTATGTTTGCCTGTAGCAACACAGTACATGCTGTCCTGAAAGCCAGTCACAGAAGTTGAAGGGAGGAAATGTCTGATCACATAATGCGAGAAACATTTTTTTTTAAAACAAACAGGAAATGTGAGAATTTGTAAACAACACTTAGGTCTGACAGCTTAATAACCACAGGCGGCATTTTAAAGGATAAAATAGTTTATTTTATAGTCTCATAGTAAAGGTAGGCCTCAACTTGCAAGACAATTGTTGGCAGTATGTACAACATACTTGTAATTTCCATGGAATGGAATCGGACAAACAAAGACTTATTACACTAATTATATCCTCCTAAATGGAAATAAAATGGAAACAATATACATACACACACGACTCCTAGACACGCAAAATGCTTCCTTTTTTTCCTTGGGGGATTCAGCAACATTGATTTTTACTGTGTAAAGCACAACACATCAACAAGGATTCATTTAGCTTCCTTGCACTGCAAAAGACGGGAGCTACCTTTGACATTCAATACCTATTTCAAACCCTTAAGGAAAACTACATGTGACAAATTGGCATTTTCCCATAACTTGTGAGATTACTACAAAATGCATAACATACTTTTGAACTTGAAAACATCCAATCAATGCTTTTTTTATAATATATAAAACGAGATGCCTAACGTATTCAGCCACCTAAAGTCATTCACTACTTCAAGCTAAAGGACAAAATACGATACAAGTTTAGGAATATTCTCCTTCAAAACATCAATTTCAACAAAGGAGTAATGTTTTCTTCTTTTTAATCTTGTGTTAACAAACGTGTCGGGCAGAAAACTTCTGCAATCCAGTGGGCCTGAGGTGGGTATCACTTTTAACATTTGCTTCATTCATATTCTTTAGTGGAAAAAGTAAGTTACAAATGTTTTATTCTTTTATTTTTAAAAAGGTAAACTTCTCCAGGACGATTTATCTAGGTGTGTGTATGTGTGTGTGTGTGTGTGTGTGTGTGTAAATTCTAAACAGGTTTTTATCAAGAATAACAAAATAAACAAATAAAATATATAATATTAGCAGTGCTTGGAGGAGTACACCTGGCCCGCCCTTCCGCCCCCCCAACACAACCTGGGGAGGAGGAGGGGCTTTATTGAGGGTACAAAAAAAGCATCAAGTCCTTAAGTAGCCAAGCTGCCTCTTTTTGGGTTTTGGATTGTTGACGTTGCTAGGGGGGATATACCAATGACGGAGAACCAAAGAAAAGAGAGAAAGAGAGGGATGGGAAGGGGGAAAAAACCTGAAGCTCTCTAAATGAACTGAAGCAGTCATCTTCCACGCTGCTGACTTCCTTCCTCCTGTTCTTGGAGATTGAGTGGGAAGAGAGACAATTGTGGCGGCGGTGTTTGAGGGGTCATGAGTCTCCAGTGCGAGCCCCACCCAGAGATGGAGGAGAGAGAACGAGGAGGACGGTGAGGGAGGCCGGGGGTGGCTGTTGTTGACATGAAGGGGGGAGTCCTCGATGAGCCTCGAGAGCTTTGTAGGCTGCGTTCCCTCTCGACCTCCCTTGCGCCCCACCGCCTCGACCGTGGCCAGGTTTAAACCCTCTCGGCTCTCTAGCTGGCCTCCACGCGCAGCTTCTTCCTGTTGGGCGGCTCCTCTGCCTCCGACTCAGAGCTCGAGTCAGAGCCACCGTCGAACGCCGACACGGCGCTGCCTTTGGGATTGGTGTACAGGCTGCTGTCAGACGACGAGTAGTTGGCCTGGAGTTGGGTGGAGCCCTTCACTTTCTCCAGAGCACGGACTGCAGGAACACAACGGGAAACATGAAGGTGAGGAAGACGAACAAAAGCATTTCAAAAGGGTAGTCGGTGAATAAAAAAATTCAGGCTGGGGACACATTACATGACTGAACAATGAAATTCTGTTTGAGGAAGTGCAGATAACCAGAGAATCCAAAATGAAGGAAGCCGTGCTATCAGCTGTGCTGTACCATCAGTTTTATTTAACCCTGCTGTGCTGAGTGGGAAGCAACACAAATATTTCCTCTTCAAATCCATAAACAAAAACTTACCAAAATCAACAGTAACAATAATACTTCTTTAAATTCTTCATAAAAACAAGTGCTTTACCGATTAAAAGATATTCAGAACAAAAATTGAAAATCATCAGAAACTCGTAATGAGCACATAATCAGGCAGAACTGAGTGCATACATACATACACAGTACCGCCTAAGATGTGCAGTTTAATATTGCTGTGCCACTCTGGTGTGACTGGACCTGTACAGATAGCTTCAGTCATGGCCCATTTTCTAGCTAACCTCTGTTCCATTAGCGTCTTCCATTCAGTTTCTGTTTCTCAGTATGGGTCTCCATTATCCTTTTTCTAAAAATGTGACACTCACACACTTTGGTTTAACATCAATATTCTAAGATTAACGTATATCTACGACTGAGGTCATGTTTTTTTCCTAGGAATTTTGGGGGATTATACTACTTGGCTACTTTTTAATACATTTAAATTAAACTGCCATCAAAATATGAAACTGGAGCTGAAATCAATCATTTAAATCATCACTAACAGTTTATAGTTGAGCTAAATTAAGTAAAAATGTTTATCTGCTGCAGCCCTCTGGGCCACTGGTGCGCTGTCAAAGCCTGATTGGAAACGTAGCTGTTCAATGCGAACGTAATAATCATCTGTTTAAACAACGCAGTGTTCGAATTTTACTGCCCATTTCAATAGCTGTTGGGTTTAGATTATAGACATAAACCCCGGGAACATGTTTGAGATAATCAGCAAAACCCATGGAAGGAAACACTTAAGAGAAAACCCACTGAGTTATAGAAGGTTACGCTGAGGCAGGAGGCTCAACCCTGTGTGGTAGTGCAGTGGCACAAACACTTTCATTTTAAGATCGGGAACTGTGTGTTCTCTAGGCACTCATCCACATGCTCTTTTATCTCACTACAACATCCAACTAAAAACAAACATAATGGTGGCGATTGTATTTCCTCACCCTCCCCTCATGCAGTCCACTCTTTAAGGCTACACCGAGTAGATTTGCTAAAACTCAAACATCTGCACGTTTCAACAGGTTAAATTTAAGACTTTGTAAGACCAAAAGGAATGCAATTTAATTCCTATTTTATGTCCATACTGAGATTGTGACAGAAAGTTGGTATGAGTTCCATGTCGGCTTTGTTTCATAGTTGTTACAGCATGATCAATACAGAGTTTTCCCCAAAACGAGACTGAAATGCAGCTTTATATGAGTAATGTTAACTTCATTAATCCTAAATATTAAGACATATTTAAGACATTTTAATATTTAGATTATTGGATTTTAACCTTTGTAAGACCTCGTGGACACCCTCCTTTCTGAGGAGGTCACAGGAGTCCCAGCTACCATCAGCAGGCAAAAATGAGTCCTGACAACTGCCCCAAACTAGCTCAGAGGTTTTCCTGAAATTAACAAAATAGGGGTGTCGAAACGTCACAACATCCCCAACCTGAAGAATAAAATGATAGTGACACAGTCGGATATACCTTGCTGCTCCAGCAGTGCGTTCTGCCTCTTCAGGTCGTCGATGTCCTGCTGGTGTGTGTGGTTTTTTCGCCTCATGTACTGGATGTACTCTGTGGCTTTGTCTAGGATTTGAGCTCGAGACGCCTGTTTGGTAGACTGCTGTTAGTGACACATGCAGAAATTGAAGCAATGACGCCAAGTATACAGAGTCCTTTTCATTCACATTTATTGCACAAACATTCCTGCTCCTGTCATGATGCTACTGAGACTGGGCCCGGAGGCTCACACACTGCAAACAACTGCAAGAGACTGGAGGGAAATCTTGGACACCACTGTTATGTTTCTGCACAGCTTGCCTCCTCTTAACCTCTGAGAATCCTCTAGCACTTCAGTCGGACATCCACAAGCTAGGTCACAACCCTGACACTTAGATGTCAGAGCGTTCGCCTCGATTACAGCAAACAAAAGTACTGCGGCAGCCCGTTAGCTGACTGGCTGCTCTTAAATGGAGGATTTCCCTTTCCTGACAAATTAACTATATCTCTAAATGAATTAAGCTATTAAGCGTGGGCATTCGTTGACTTAATACCAGCAGCAGCAGCGTTGGTCACATTTGTACACA